ATGCTTTTTGTGGTCAAGGTGGTTGAGTCCATACCAGGTTTGGACTGACAGCTCATGGGATCCCTGGGCAATAGGGGATCATGGGGCCCCTGTGTCCTTGCCAAAACTCAAAAAAGCCTATGAAAAAGGTACCAGGGGCATCTCATGGGGCGCCCCACTGACCCCGGGCCCTCGGGCAGTGCCCGAGTTTCCAAATGGTCAGTCCGCCCCTGGTCCATACATAAAGTGGTTGTACACCTCAGACATGAAATATGAACAAAGCATATCTCTCTATATGGTGCATTTGTCTCAATTAGGAGTACAAAATGTAATTTCTGTCTTCTACTCAGCATGGTTGTTGGTGCCAGACGGGCTTGTCTGAATATTTAAAAAACTGCTGATCTACTTGGATTTTCACGCACAACCATCTCTAGGGTTTACAGAGAATGGTCTGAGAAAATATTCAGTGAGCAGCAGTTGTGTGGACGAAAATGCCTTGTTGATGTCAGAGTTCAGAAGAGAATGGGCAGATTGGTTTGAGATGATGGAAAGGCAACAGTAACTCATGTCTGTATGGAGCAAAATCTCTGAGGAATGTTTCCAACACCCTGTTGAATCTATGCCATGAAGAATTAAGGCAGTTTTGAAGGCAAAAGGGGGTCCAACCTGGTACTAGCAATGTGTACCTAATAAAGTAGCCATGGAGTGTAAATTATGAACTTGAAATGATGTAGAGAAGAAAAGACTGCAGATAGACAGGTACAGCATATGTAGAAGGATTTGTTTCATCTCTGTGTATCACCTGAGGATTGTCACTTCAGTGGGTATACAGTATGTAAAGGTTTACAACCACTTTAAGCCCTAAAAAGATCTACAGAAAAAGGGCTCCCATAATACAGAGAGGTCTAAGTAAAGATTTTTGCTTAGTCTGGTATTTTCTATCGGATGATCAAGCTGTATTGACCTCACAATATCCTAGAGGTCAAGTAACTAAGGTTAGAAAATTGCATTGTCACTGGATGAAGACATTACACTACACAGTGTGGGATTTTAAGAGAAGAGCACTGTTGTACTCACCTGAAGTTGGACATTATTATTAGAGATGAGCGAATTATTCAAAAATTCGATTCGGCTGATTCGGCGAATTCGAGGAATAAATTCGATTCGAGTCGAATATATTCGCTGCGAATTTAACTTATAAAAAGGGTGTTTCTAGGCTTCAGAGAGCCTTTATATTAGTGCAGAACACTGTACCTTTAATTTAAATGCCCTTGGAGTCTGCTGGGGAAGAGAAATAATACTGTCAGTCAGTATGACATGCAGATGAGTGCCGTCGATCTTAGAATCACCGCACACTTCACTCATTTGGGCAGTCACGGGGCCAAAACCAGAGTGTGGAGCCACAGTGTGGCGGTGGAGGCAGCAGCAATGGGAGGCCATACAGCACCCTATGACAAAATGGAACCCACCAGCAGTGTGAGGAGACCTGAAAGTGGCACATGGCAGAGTGTGGCGATGGAGACAGCAGCAATGGGAGGCCGTACAGGGACCCATGACACACTCTGGACCTGGCAGCAGCATGAGGAGGCGGTACAGGGGCCCATGACAGATTACGGGCCTGGCAGCAGCATGAGGAGTCGGTACGGGGGCCCATGGCAGATTACGGGGCCTGGCAGCAGCAATGGGAGGCCATACAGCACCCTATGACAAAATGGAATCCACCAGCAGTGTGAGGAGACCTGAAAGTGGCACATGGCAGAGTGTGGCGATGGAGACAGCAGCAATGGGAGGCCGTACAGGGACCCATGACACACTCTGGACCTGGCAGCAGCATGAGGAGGCGGTACAGGGGCCCATGACAGATTACGGGCCTGGCAGCAGCATGAGGAGTCGGTACGGGGGCCCATGGCAGATTACGGGCCTGGCAGCAGCAATGGGAGGCCGTAAAGGGACCCATGACACACTCTGGACCTGGCAGCAGCATGAGGAGGCGGTACAGGGGCCCATGACAGATTACGGGCCTGGCAGCAGCATGAGGAGTCGGTACAGGGGCCCATGGCAGATTACGGGCCTGGCAGCAGCAATGGGAGGCCGTACAGGGACCCATGACACACTCTGGACCTGGCAGCAGCATGAGGAAGCGGTACAGGGGCCCATGACAGATTACGGGCCTGGCAGCAGCATGAGGAGTCAGTACGGGGGCCCATGGCAGATTACGGGCCTGGCAGCAGCAATGGGAGGCCCGTAATCTGCCAGCACCCTATGACAAAATGGAACCCACCAGCAGTGTGAGGAGACCTGAAAGTGGCACATGGCAGAGTGTGGCGATGGAGACAGCAGCAATGGGAGGCCGTACAGGGACCCATGACACACTCTGGACCTGGCAGCAGCATGAGGAGGAGGCGGTACAGGGGCCCATGACAGATTACGGGCCTGGCAGCAGCATGAGGAGGCGGTACAGGGGCCCATGACAGATTACGGGGCCTGGCAGCAGCATGAGGAGTCGGTACGGGGGCCCATGGCAGATTACGGGCCTGGCAGCAGCAATGGGAGGCCATACAGCACCCTATGACAAAATGGAACCCACCAGCAGTGTGAGGAGACCTGAAAGTGGCACATGGCAGAGTGTGGCGATGGAGACAGCAGCAATGGGAGGCCGTACAGGGACCCATGACACACTCTGGACCTGGCAGCAGCATGAGGAGGCGGTACAGGGGCCCATGGCAGATTACGGGCCTGGCAGCAGCAATGGGAGGCCCGTAATCTGCCAGCACCCTATGACAAAATGGAACCCACCAGCAGTGTGAGGAGACCTGAAAGTGGCACATGGCAGAGTGTGGCGATGGAGACAGCAGCAATGGGAGGCCGTACAGGGACCCATGACACACTCTGGACCTGACAGCAGCATGAGGAGGCGGTACAGGGGCCCATGACAGATTACGGGCCTGGCAGCAGCATGAGGAGTCGTACGGGGGCCCATGGCAGATTACGGGCCTGGCAGCAGCAATGGGAGGCCATACAGCACCCTATGACAAAATGGAACCCCCACCAGCAGTGTGAGGAGACCTGAAAGTGGCACATGGCAGAGTGTGGCGATGGAGACAGCAGCAATGGGAGGCCGTACAGGGACCCATGACACACTCTGGACCTGGCAGCAGCATGAGGAGGCGGGTACAGGGGCCCATGACAGATTACGGGCCTGGCAGCAGCATGAGGAGTCGGTACGGGGGGCCCATGGCAGATTACGGGCCTGGCAGCAGCAATGGGAGGCCGTATCTACAGGGACCTATGACAAAATGGAACCCACCAGCAGTGTGAGGAGACCTGAAAGTGGCACATGGCAGAGTGTGGCGATGGAGACAGCAGCAATGGGAGGCCGTACAGGGCCCATGACAGACACACTCTGGACCTGGCAGCAGCATGAGGAGGCGGTACGGGGGCCCATGGCAGATTACGGGGGCCCATGGCAGATTACGGGGCAGCAGCAATGGGAGGCCCGTAATCTGCCAGCACCCTATGACAAAATGGAACCCACCAGCAGTGTGAGGAGACCTGAAAGTGGCACATGGCAGAGTGTGGCGATGGAGACAGCAGCAATGGGAGGCCGTACAGGGACCCATGACACACTCTGGACCTGGCAGCAGCTGATGGGGCGGTACAGGGGCCCATGACAGATTACGGGCCTGGCAGCAGCATGAGGAGTCGGTACGGGGGCCCATGGCAGATTACGGCCTGGGCAGCAGCAATGGGAGGCCCGTAATCTACAGCACCCTATGACAAAATGGAACCCACCAGCAGTGTGAGGAGACCTGAAAGTGGCACATGGCAGAGTGTGGCGATGGAGACAGCAGCAATGGGAGGCCGTACAGGGGACCCATGACACACTCTGGACCTGGCAGCAGCATGAGGAGGCGGTACAGGGGCCCATGACAGATTACGGGCCTGGCAGCAGCATGATCCATGGGAGTCGGTACGGGGGCCCATGGCAGATTACGGGCCTGGCAGCAGCAATGGGAGGCCGTACAGGGACCCATGACACACTCTGGACCTGGCAGCAGCATGAGGAGGCGGTACAGGGGCCCATGACAGATTACGGGCCTGGCAGCAGCATGAGGAGTCGGTACGGGGGCCCATGCAGATTACGGGCCTGACAGCAGCAATGGGAGGCCGTACAGGGACCCATGACACACTCTGGACCTGGGCAGCAGCATGAGGAGGCGGTACAGGGGCCCATGACAGATTACGGGCCTGGCAGCAGCATGAGGAGTCGGTACGGGGGGCCCATGGCAGATTACGGGCCTGGCAGCAGCAATGGGAGGCCGTAATCTGCCAGCACCCTATGACAAAATGGAACCCACCAGCAGTGTGAGGAGACCTGAAAGTGGCACATGGCAGAGTGTGGCGATGGAGACAGCAGCAATGGGAGGCCGTACAGGGACCCATGACACACTCTGGACCTGGCAGCAGCATGAGGAGGCGGTACAGGGGCCCATGACAGATTACGGGCCTGGCAGCAGCATGAGGAGTCGGTACGGGGGCCCATGGCAGATTACGGGCCTGGCAGCAGCAATGGGAGGCCCGTAATCTGCCAGCACCCTATGACAAAATGGAACCCACCAGCAGTGTGAGGAGACCTGAAAGTGGCACATGGCAGAGTGTGGCGATGGAGACAGCAGCAATGGGAGGCCGTACAGGGACCCATGACACACTCTGGACCTGGCAGCAGCATGAGGAGGGAGGCGGTACAGGGGCCCATGACAGATTACGGGCCTGGCAGCAGCATGAGGAGTCGGTACGGGGGCCATGGCAGATTACGGGCCTGGCAGCAGCAATGGGAGGCCCGTAACAGGGCACATGACAAAATGGAACCCACCAGCAGCAATGAGGAGACCTGGTACAGTGGCCCACTGGCCTGGCAGCAGCATGAGGAGGCGGTACAGGGGCCCATGGCAGTGGCGATGCAGATTGGGCCTGGCAGCAGCAATGGGAGGCCGTACAGGGACCCATGACACACTCTGGACCTGGCAGCAGCATGAGGAGGCGGTACAGGGGCCCATGACAGATTACGGGCCTGGCAGCAGCATGAGGAGTCGGTACGGGGGCCCATGGCAGATTACGGGCCTGGCAGCAGCAATGGGAGGCCCGTAATCTGCCAGCACCCTATGACAAAATGGAACCCCACAGCAGCAGTGTGAGGAGACCTGAAAGTGGCACATGGCAGAGTGTGGCGATGGAGACAGCAGCAATGGGAGGCCGTACAGGGACCCATGACACACTCTGGACCTGGCAGCAGCATGAGGAGGCGGTACAGGGGCCCATGACAGATTACGGGCCTGGCAGCAGCATGAGGAGTCGGTACGGGGGCCCATGGCAGATTACGGGCCTGGCAGCAGCAATGGGAGGCCCGTAATCTGCCAGCACCCTATGACAAAATGGAACCCACCAGCAGTGTGAGGAGACCTGAAAGTGGCACATGGCAGAGTGTGGCGATGGAGACAGCAGCAATGGGAGGCCGTACAGGGACCCATGACACACTCTGGACCTGGCAGCAGCATGAGGAGGCGGTACAGGGGCCCATGACAGATTACGGGCCTGGCAGCAGCATGGGAGGCCGGTAATCTGCCAGGCCCTATGACAGAAACGGGAACCCACAATGGGAGCATGTGAGCAGACCTATGACAAAATGGAACCACCAGCAGTGTGAGGGACCTGATGGAGACAGCAGCAGAGGGAGGCGTACAGGGACCCATGGGAGGCCGTACACACTCTGGACACACTCTGGCAGCAGCATGATGAGGAGGCGGTACAGGGGCCCATGACAGATTACGGGCCTGGCAGCAGCATGAGGAGTCGGTACGGGGGCCCATGGCAGATTACGGGCCTGGCAGCAGCAATGGGAGGCCCGTAATCTGCCAGCACCCTATGACAAAATGGGAACCCACCAGCAGTGTGAGGAGACCTGAAAGTGGCACATGGCAGAGTGTGGCGATGGAGACAGCAGCAATGGGAGGCCGTACAGGGACCCATGACACACTCTGGACCTGGCAGCAGCATGAGGAGGCGGTACAGGGGCCCATGACAGATTACGGGCCTGGCAGCAGCATGAGGAGTCGGTACGGGGGCCCATGGCAGATTACGGGCCTGGCAGCAGCAATGGGAGGCCCGTAATCTGCCAGCACCCTATGACAAAATGGAACCCACCAGCAGTGTGAGGAGACCTGAAAGTGGCACATGGCAGAGTGTGGCGATGGAGACAGCAGCAATGGGAGGCCGTACAGGGACCCATGACACACTCTGGACCTGGCAGCAGCATGAGGAGGCGGTACAGGGGCCCATGACAGATTACGGGCCTGGCAGCAGCATGAGGAGTCGGTACGGGGGGCCCATGGCAGATTACGGGCCTGGCAGCAGCAATGGGAGGCCCGTAATCTGCCAGCACCCTATGACAAAATGGAACCCACCAGCAGTGTGAGGAGACCTGAAAGTGGCACATGGCAATGGCGATGGAGACAGCAGCAATATGGGAGGCCGTAGGGACCCATGACACACTCTGGACACTCTGGCTGGCAGCATGAGGAGGCGGTACAGGGGCCCATGACAGATTACGGGCCTGGCAGCAGCATGAGGAGTCGGTACGGGGGCCCATGGCAGATTACGGGCCTGGCAGCAGCAATGGGAGGCCGTACAGGGACCCATGACACACTCTGGACCTGGCAGCAGCATGAGGAGGCGGTACAGGGGCCCATGACAGATTACGGGCCTGGCAGCAGCATGAGGAGTACAGGGACCCGGTAGGCGGGTACACGGGGGCCCATGGCAGATTACGGGCCTGGCAGCAGCAATGGGAGGCCCGTAATCTGCCAGCACCCTATGACAAAATGGAACCCACCAGCAGTGTGAGGAGACCTGAAAGTGGCACATGGCAGAGTGTGGCGATGGAGACAGCAGCAATGGGAGGCCGTACAGGGACCCATGACACACTCTGGACCTGGCAGCAGCATGAGGAGGCGGCGGTACAGGGGCCCATGACAGATTACGGGCCTGGCAGCAGCATGAGGAGTCGGTACGGGGGCCCATGGGCAGATTACGGGCCTGGCACGCAGCAGCAATGGGAGGCCCGTAATCTGCCAGCACCCTATGACAAAATGGACCCACCAGCAGTGTGAGGAGACCTGAAAGTGGCACATGGCAGAGTGTGGCGATGGAGACAGCAGCAATGGGAGGCCGTACAGGGACCCATGCCACACTCTGGACCTGGCAGCAGCATGAGGAGGCGGTACAGGGGCCCATGACAGATTACGGGCCTGGCAGCAGCATGAGGAGTCGGTACGGGGGCCCATGGCAGATTACGGGCCTGGCAGCAGCAATGGGAGGCCGTACAGGGACCCATGACACCCTGGAACCTGGCAGCAAATGGAGGACCCACAGGGGCAGTGTGAGGAGCCTGATGAGAAGCAGTGGGCCATGGCAGATGCTACGGGCCTGGCAGCAGCAATGGGAGGCCGTACAGGGGCCCACATGACCCACAGCTCTGAGGGACCTGGCAGCAGCATGAGGCAATGGGAGGCGGTACAGGGGCCCATGACAGATTACGGGCCTGGCAGCAGCATGAGGAGTCGGTACGGGGGCCCATGGCAGATTACGGGCCTGGCAGCAGCAATGGGGAGGCCCGTAATCTGCCAGCACCCTATGACAAAATGGAACCCACCAGCAGTGTGAGGAGACCTGAAAGTGGCACATGGCAGAGTGTGGCGATGGAGACAGCAGCAATGGGAGGCCGTACAGGGACCCATGACACACTCTGGACCTGGCAGCAGCATGAGGAGGCGGTACAGGGGCCCATGACAGATTACGGGCCTGGCAGCAGCAATGGGAGTCGGTAATCTGCCAGCACCCTATGACAAAATGGCCTGGCAGCAGCAATGGGAGGAGACCGAAAGGGCCATGGCAGAGTGTGACCTGGCAGCAGCAATGGGAGGCCGTACAGGGGCCCATGACAGATTACTGGACCTGGCAGCAGCATGAGGAGGTCGGTACGGGGGCCCATGGCAGATTACGGGCCTGGCAGCAGCAATGGGAGGCCCGTAATCTGCCAGCACCCTATGACAAAATGGAACCCACCAGCAGTGTGAGGAGACCTGAAAGTGGCACATGGCAGAGTGTGGCGATGGAGACAGCAGCAATGGGAGGCCATACAGGGACCCATGACACACTCTGGACCTGGCAGCAGCATGGAGGAGGCGGTACAGGGGCCCATGACAGATTACGGGCCTGGCAGCAGCATGAGGAGTCGGTACGGGGGGCCCATGGCAGATTACGGGCCTGGCAGCAGCAATGGGAGGCCCGTAATCTGCCAGCACCCTATGACAAAATGGAAACCCACCAGCAGTGTGAGGAGACCTGAAAGTGGCACATGGCAGAGTGTGGCGATGGAGACAGCAGCAATGGGAGGCCGTACAGGGACCCATGACACACTCTGGACCTGGCAGCAGCATGAGGAGGCGGTACAGGGGCCCATGACAGATTAGGGCCTGGCAGCAGCATGAGGAGTCGGTACGGGGGCCCATGGCAGATTACGGGCAGCAGCAATGGGAGGCCGTAATCTGCCAGCACCCTATGACAAAATGGAACCCACCAGCAGTGTGAGGAGACCTGAAAGTGGCACATGGCAGAGTGTGGCGATGGAGACAGCAGCAATGGGAGGCCGTACAGGGACCCATGACACACTCTGGACCTGGCAGCAGCAAGAGGAGGCGGTACAGGGGCCCATGGCAGAGTGGCGAAGCGTAAGCAGCTTAAATTGAAGGCCATACAGAGGCCTATGTTAAAAATAATAACATGTTTGGGGCATGATTCATTTCGTTGCGCAGTAGTCAAGGGGATTGTCTACCTCGGTTGGGAAGGGTGCTGTCCAAGTTTGCCCCAGCCTTTTGT